GAAAAAACCCTTTATATTCAAATACTTTATATTTTCATCGAGGGGACTCTCTCTACGGAGGCCTCCATGTTTTTTACATTAGTCCAAACTGGACAAACTAAAAACCGTTGGAGTTTTTGTGACAATTAAAGTCGACCACAGGTTATTTTTCATGTTTGGAAGGAGAGGGTGAGGTGAGGGGTGTTCAGCTGCAACATGCAATTTCAACACTAGATATCACTAAATTCTACACAATGAAAGCATTATGATCTTGAATATATTTTACATTTGGCCCATCTCTACTCGCCGCCTTTACAAATCCTAAAGTTTTAAATTGTGTGATGAGTTTGACAAGTTGGAATAAAACCGACACTTCAGCTGCTTACAAATGATTTAATTTAAAAACACGATGAACAAACCACAGTGACACCAAACTTTCACCGGTTCTTCTGACTGACAGAGAAACGCCTGAGCTCGTTGTCAGAGTTAGAACAATGACTTTAAAAATGAAACGCTTGTCGAGCACCTGCACAGAAACAAAAGCCTGACACACACAGATGGTTGATTAGTGAAGCAGAGGAAGGTGACACGTCTGTTCTGAGAACAGCTGAACACGGATCACAGACAAAAGCTGTGTCAGTTCACAGTATCACATTATTCTGAACAGGACTCAGTGTGAAGTGTACTCACACTGTTAAAGGTCCAGTGTGCGAGATTTAGGTGAAAGGAATCTTTGGCAGAATTTGAATATAAAATAATCCTGGTCATGTTTTTTACTGTCGTCCAAACTAAACAAACTAAAAAAGTTTTCATTACAACTGAAGTTCACCACAGGTTCTCTTTCATGATGGGAAGGGGGAGGGGGAAGTGAGGAGTATTCAGCTGCAACATACAACTTCACCTCTAGATGTCACTCAATTCTACACACTGAACCTTTAAAGTACATTTGAAAACTAATGTTTGATTACGCTGGTAATTATACACTAAAGTAAACAAGGAAATGTTGGTAACACATTTTTTGGAAAATAAAATTAAAACTACTTTTACAAATTTGACATTTAGCTTTTTTGTTTACTGGGATAAAATCACTCGAGCCACTGTGAACTCAGTTCTTGATTTGTTTGGTGTTTGCTCTCCCTGGTGGTCCTTGGGAACCTTTCCTATGTTAACAACAACAATGATAAATAATACTACAGCAAGTGGTAGATGATATTCACCAGCACACTGTGGGGGTTTGAGAAGCTGCACGTAACCTGCATGGATCAGTTAGTAGATAAAAGAAGACAGTGGGAGTCAGTTTGATTCTGTGTAAAGGAAAAATAATGAAATCTCATTTTTGTTGGTTGTATTTTACCTTTTGCTTCGTCCATTGGTTGGTTTTTCTGCAGTGTCACGCAAAAACATCTAAACAGATTCCCAGGACCCTAACCCATTTCAGAGGTCGATATCTATGAATATGTGTGATTTAATGCAGCTTAACTGAATTTAAGGCGACTGTTGGGCCTTGGAGGAGGAACACTGCTGAGTACATTCTAGTTTTCTTCCTGCAGTGATGTAGCTGCAACTTTCAACCACAAGAGGTCATTAAATCATGGTTTTACATTTGATAATATGCTCCCTCATTTTGAATCTCTCCTTCTGATATTATGTTGTTATGCAACTTGGCAATACTTGTGTTGTAAGGACCAGAAATGCAGAACTGGCAACTCACCATGTGCACAAATGTCCATGTTGACCTGGGTTCCACATTGCAGATTAAAAAGAAAACAGCTAACAGTTCAAATTTGACTATTATTGTCTTTTAATCACCGGTTTGTCTTTGTTAGTTGTAGCAGAGCATTGAGGACTCTGTTGGAAGGAAGAAGGAATCTCTGGCAGAGCCTCCTGGAAGCTGAAGGTCTCGTCTTTTCCCTTTTACTGAACGTTCCATCTGGTCAGAGCTACAGGCGCCGTGGCACCAGGGACGGTTTCACATTTCAATGCAACACTGCTGAGTGAGTTATTCCTCTGCTCACACATGGAGGGCAGAGGAGCTGAGGAGTCTCAGTGTATAAGGGAAGAAGGTATGGATCTGAGATGAGGAGGTGAACATGGGCGGGATGTGGACACACAAATACATGCACAGAGCTGTATCGTCTTTTTTTGTTGTTGCAACAATAGCAACAGAAATCTGTTCCAGTCATTGTCAACAAAATGAATGTAAAGCCAAGAAAACGACAAAGACTGTTAGCTAACTGGTCTCAGACTTGTGGTTCATCAGGGTTTGATGCATAAACACAAAAAAATACAAATCAAATTATGATATAAATGAATTATTTGCTGTATGCGTGATTGGAATACTGAGAAGGCCTAGTGGACTCTTATTTGAGATGCAAAGCAATGACATAGAGATGCAAAACTACAAAAAAAAAAAAAAAAGGTACTCAAAACCATTAAAGAGGCTATAGAGATGCAAAATATGTCTGTTGAAAGAGGCAAACCTACTTATTATAAAGAGATTCAAGAGAAACATAAAACAATCTTAAACAACCAACACAAAGAGACAGAATAGAGACTTGAAGAGACACTGTTGTAAAGAATGACCACAAACTCATAGAAAGACACTCGAAACAATCACAGACAAATCGAAAAAGAAATGCAAAATAACAACAAGAAGACTGAAAACAAACACAGCGATTAAAGAGAACTACAATAACACTTAAACAACCACAAAATCTTAAAATCTAATCTAAAAATTATTAAAATATGCAGAAGACTGTACTGAAGATCTTGATACTAGTGATTTATCCAAACCTCCTTCATAACTTGACACTGACGCTCACCCCAGACGTCGTTTTGCAGGTATCAAGTTCCGCATTTTCCAAAACAGTAGGCAGTGCATTGAATGAATGAATATTTTATGAGCTGCAACTGAGAAGAGCAAAGTTGCTGCTGCTGCTGCAGATGTATTGTCCCTAATAGCTGCTGATGTGGCGTGGCGTGTCCATGAGGTGGCAGTGTGGAGCAGAGGATGGCCAGTGCTCACTCTGATCCAGGATCAGTTCAGCTGTGAGTTATTATTCACCAAATTCAACATTTCAGCACGGTGGGAAATTATAGAAAGGATGTTTTTTTAAATTCTGTGAACATGATGAGAGCAGATTTGAATTGGTTGTAATGATTCAGCAGTTGTTCATGTCGTGGATGGAGCGAGAGTTACATAGCTGTGGTTTGTAGGACCACATTGTGTCTCTTCCTTCACGCTCCATGTGCACATTGGAGCCATGAACATAATATTATAATATTTCCTCACACTCCGTCTCCTCTGCGCTGATGTAACAATGTAATGAACAAACCCCTGAATAATGAATCACCCTGCAATTGGCAATGAAAGATTAAGTGTTTGCGTTTTCTCATAATCAAGATGCTGCACGCAATTACAGGCAAACAACGCTACAGCACACACACACACACACACACACACACACACATCACTGCAGATTCCCACACACGTGCACACGTATGCACATACACACGCACACACACATGCAACACAACTGCGGATCCACACACAGGTCAAAGGGCAGCAGAAGCAACTGGAGCACAACAGCATGTCTCCATCTCCAGGGGCTGGATTATTCTCTTCTCTCTCTCTTTCTCCCTCCCTCTCTCTCTCTATCTCTCTCTCTCTCCTCCTTCATCTCTTACCACCAACACCTCCATCACTCCCACCCACCCCCTACACCCCCACCCTCATTTCTTTGCTTTCCTACCACAAAACAACAAGCGTTCCGGCTGCACTGTAAATGAGAGCTGAGCGTGAAGTGGACATCATCTTCAGTTGCCCCCATGTGGTTTTCTGTTGTGTGTATTTTAACTGACAGTGACAAAGAGGTCTTAGCGTTCATAAAAAAGTAAATTGCCCCCAATGTGATTTGACTTTGACCACATTTCAAGCTATGTCAAGAGCTGCTGGTGGTTTCCAACATTTTGAAAAGCTTATAATCGCGGCTACACCCCCGTCACTCCTTTCGCAGAATGATGTCGCAGCTGTTTTGAGCTGACTTCCAATAATTCAGCATATTTGCTTTTTTCGGTTTGCAGCCCTGCCATCGAGCGTTTGCCGAAGGGGGAGCGAGCGATCAATCAATGGACCGGCTCAACATACAAAAACTGCCCCTGTCGAGCCTCTCACATCTGAGGTAAATCCATATCTCATATTTCCTCCATTTTCATGCAGATGCGGGGGGAGATGGGAGAGAGTGAGATGTCTCCGGCCTCCTGATAGTGTTGCTATCCCCCCGACAGTTTGATGTGATTGCATTGTCAGCCCTCTGAGTCTGCTGGTGCTCGAGTGCTCTTGGTTGCAGGCTGGATGTGAGGAGGATGGA